GTAACAGTGCAGATGGATCGTCAGGCAGACATGGGGGAATAGCGGTGAAATGTGGGGAGGAGGGTGTATATAAAATTACTGTATATAGAAATACCTTCTCTGAGGAAATAAAGAAGAGGCAAGAGAATGTGGCGACGAGGGAAACGGGGATAAAATATTTTCTCACTTCCACCAGAACTAGAAGAGAGTTATGAGGAGTCTGCCAATGCAGCAAACAGCTGGCTTCATTTGCATAATACCCATCAGGCCTCTCTTTCCCTCAGGCAGCCTGTCAACTCACGGCCGAGACATACACGCATATACACACTCATGACACCACCATTCACTCTGTCATATATTTATAGGCACCACGTATCTTCTAGATAGTAGTGCTACTGTATCAGTCGAATTCAAAGCTCCTCTGTGACTCAATGAAAGCTTTTTTAATGCTTTAATTTATTTGATTTTCATAAAGCAGACTAATTGCCTCTGCAGAGAGAGGGAGATGAGACGATTTAGCTTTTATGCTGACAATAAAATGATCATAAAATCGTCTTCTAGAAACAAAGAATACAGTCCGATGAATCAAACTACTCTTGAGTGGCTGCAGTAAGTCAAAGAAGAGGGTGCTTGGGGAGAAATACACTTTGGCCAAATAGCATAGGGTAGGTCTCCCATCAGCAAGGTGCTGCTGGGGTGTCATCACAGCAATAGCTGCCCCGTGATAGGAGAGATCACAGAGGAGAGAGGGCAGGAGCCTGGGCTAGTCTCTGTGGGTTTTAAAGTTCAATAATTTAACAGCTGAGATCGTCTTCAGGTTTGTTACAAGATGATGTGGTCTGCGATAATGAGAACATGGGAACGATGTGGGGTTAGATAACAAATGGTGGTGATGTTATGTCATGTTATATGACGACGCACAAGCAGAAGGAAAGAAAAAAGCATGTCAGTATGAGCTAAAACATTGCTGACAAAGTCAAAAGTATATCGCTACATTTCTCTTTACATTTCACAGATTGCTTTTTCCTTAGAGACAGCACACAAACACACACACACACACACACACAGGATGGCGGTTTTATGATTGCGGCTGCCACAGTGCAGTTAGTTATAGTGCTGCCGTTTATAACAGACAGAATATGATTTCAGATGAACTGTTTACCCTGAGGATTAACATTATAGCTCTGTTGACTGGATTAGCTGCAATGATCAGCATTGATCTCTGCTGTCACTAGAAGAGGCTGATTCTGTGTATTATCGCCCCTCAGAGTGCTGTCATCTCGCTACTAAGTAAATCCCCCCTTCACACCATCTGAATTGGACATTTTTCAAGAGGCTGGTCAGATGAAACTGCTGCTATTTAAAAATTTCCAGCAACGCCGGTGAATCTGAGGTCTGCGGTTCAAGCTGGGGGCAGGGCCGAGTGCTCGACACGCAGCGGCTCCCGGTGATGGTTGACCAGGGGTCGCAGCAGTCAATCCCTGCACTTTAACTGCAGCTTCCACATGGTCTGCTGGAGTGATTTGGGGGCTTAGTGTGCCAGCAGTAGCATGTACCTGATGTCATGGGTTCACACAGTGAAGACTTTAATTCATAGTTTAAAGCCTGAGTCTGTGACATTTTAATAAAAGAATTATGAGCGGGTGTAGAGGTATTCAGAAATAATTTAAGTAAAAGTAGCAACAGTGAAATAAATGTAACAGCAGCAAATTCATTTAAAAACCTCTTATGCAGAATAGCTCATTTGGGAGCTTATATTATTATATAAAGTATATTATTGAAGTATTATTATTGAACATGTATTTTATTGTTGCATCATATTTTATAAGATGATTATGGATGGATTAACCTGTTGGGGGGCACTGATATATTTATTCTGTCGCCTCCAAATTCTCATAAAGTCCAGTGTAACCAGTACTCATATGCTGAAATAACGCTGCACAGTTTGTGATAGTTGTGGTAATTTGATTGAACCCAACTTAATTTAGGAATATGCACCATGTGAGCACCATATAAACTACAATAATCAAATTTGATTTTTATACAGGGCTCATCTGCCACACAATTATGTTGTTATGCACTTGCTTTAGTTGATATTGAGATGGTGGTTACTGTTTGCATGAACTGTTAGCTGCATGAAAACTACTTTGGGGACATGAATAAAATAATAGCACGGGAACAGAGGCTTCCACGTTCACTCACTTCAGCAGTTCAAATGTAATACATCACTATCTCACAGAGTATCACTCCACCAACTCAAGCTATTTCTAACAGGTAAGGTGCAACGTCTTTTGGTTCGCACCGAAGATAAGGAATAGGGTATGACATCCTCCCATCTACAAAAAAACCTAAATACATATGTAAAAAATAAATACATTTTACAATTTTGTACTTGAATGGTGCCAAACAAATTTGCGATTAAACAAATCACCAAAAAACAATTTACACGTAGTGAATGCTTTTGGTACCCCTCGGGGGGTTTTGTACAAAACTTTTAATCTGTAACAAAAACTGAGAAATAAATTATAAATTAGTAGAATTTCTCCCTCTGAAATGTGGAGGAAGCAGGAGGATAAAGTAGCATCAGTACCTCAGAATTGTACTTTAGCACTGTGTTTGAGTAGACATAATTAGTTACTTTGCAGCACTGATTGCTGTCTAACTGCATCCAGAGAGGATTGTTTCATATGTCTCACAGGCATGATACTACGGAAGCCAAGAACAGTCAGGCTTGTAAATATTTTTCATTATCTCGAGGTAACAAGACAATTTCTCTAAAAACAAGGAACAGGATGATTACTAAGAACTCAAAAATGTGTATCTGGTTAATTTGATCACACCTGACTGCCGGGGAGGATTCACAACTAAACTGTTACCAGAATATACGTCCGAGAGTTAATTTAAGACATTAAATTCCTGGCGATGTGATGCAATACCGACAAAATATATCATGAGAAGACTGAGATTAATGAAATGGGCTCAAAGATCCCTGCCATGTCTGCCCTGTTTCCTGGCTGCTGGTTGATTTAGGTCAGGGTGAAAATGAATATCAACTGGTTACGCTACGTGTCATTCCTTCATGCATTGTTCATTATGATGAACCAATGCTACATCTGTTCACCGTCTATGCATGCTGGCATGGCATTCCTGATCTCTGATGAACATTATAAGTAATAAGAGGAAACAACCTTTTGTTTTCTCATGATAACGGGTTGATTATCTCCTTATCTCGAGATAACAAAGCTCGTTTTCTTGAGATAACGAAATAATTAACTCGTGATCTTGAGATAGCGTCATTAAGAAAAATAACTGCCAGCGTGTCCGCTTTGGGCTTCCCTATGATACACAGTTAGATTTGGAGAAAATGTAAATCCACATTTCTAGTATTTTCTTCTGGCCCTTTTTATTCATTATATCCCACTATATTATCTCCTCCGATCTAGCTGGAGCTGCCGGGTCTGGAGGTACATTTATTCTTTTATATGCCCACATGGTGCCAGATAAAGTGGATTGCCCACTCTCCTCTAAAAAAATAGTTATTTTATATTGTGCCAGTGGTAAGTCCATGTATCAAGCTCTTATGAGGCTGTAGGCAACTTCATATAATACATTACAGAACTGACTGAAATTCTTTATGTAATTTAATAAAAGAGGGGCTTCATTTTTTAAGATCATTCCTTGAGATTCCAGATATTTATTTCCTAATTCAAATCTCTTATATGTTGTCCTGAACACATTGCTGATATGTGATTGATATTGACATGCTGTCGATATTAATTCCCCAGGATTTTAAGGTAATAAAACATCCTAGTTAATACTTATACATCTTCACTAGTAAAATATAATATGCAACTTGATAATAAAAAACTGGTCCCACTATTCTATAGCAGCTTATGTCTGGTGGCCATAAAAATATGGTAATAAAAATCTTTATTGCTCTTGGCATTACAGAACAATACACGGAGAACCCCTACTGCTAGCTCTTTAGTATTATTCATTAGGTTCTGATACAGGCCAGTGGCTGCTCCTAACTTTGTGTATGTGTTTGTGTGTGTTGTGTGTGTGTGTGTGTGGTAGGGCCTTTTAATAAAAAATGCCCCGCTGGGCTCTGCGTTGCCAGTTTGCCAATCAGAGCATAGCCTCGATATGCAAATCACACACACACACAGGAGGAGTGGGCGCACACACACACACACAGTGGGAGAAGGAGTGTTTTGATCTACCAGGGCCATTACAGACATTTTAAAATCCTATGAATATAAAAAAGAGAGAGAGGGAGAAGGATGGAAGTGAGAAACGGAAGATGAGAGAGATGGGCGAGAGAGTGTTGGGGACAGAGAGAGGGGAGGAGAGAGGGAGGAGAGATATGACCGGGGAGGAAAGTGAGAGGAAACAACATTTTCTGTTCTTTTGCTGTTTATTATTAAGTTCTAGGGGAGACCGAACGGGAGAACGCATCAGAGAGATTACATGGAAGATAGACGATTAAATGGCTCCCTCACTCGCTCTCTGCCAATTTCTGTGCATTTCCCAGGTTTGTTTATTGTTCCTTGATATTATTGGAGTCTGGCAGTGAGAGATGAACCTCGCCTGAACCAGAGCCTGAGATTTATGGAAATGCTCGGTATCAATAAACATGAAGCGTGATTGGTTGATTGAGCAAAATGCATCCTGCAATCAGAACAAATGCCTCGTCATTGTTGTGCAGCCGGCTACATCACTGATGATTTGAATGAACATTAATATAGGAAGAAACAGACACTTACAAACTCAATCAAACAACTAAGACTGATGACTAACAAGACTGTTATTTGGTCTATAAATGATTAGACTCCACGCACCGAATCATCATCTTATTGAAAAAGTGTTTGGTCTCTGACCCTTGCTTACCACCAAGGAGAGGAGAGGAGGAGAGGAGAGGAGGATAGAGGAGAGAGGAGAGGCAGCTAATAGGGTGATTAGGGGGGAGGAGAGCTGCTGTTGAGAAAAAGACTTTGTGTTGGATTATTTTCTCCTCTTAGGAGCTTACAGAGAACCAGTCGGTGTTTTACACCTCAGCTCTTAACACCCCCAAATCCCCTGATTTAGACTTAAACTGCATAGAGAGGGAGGAGAGGAAGTTGGGAGGATGAGTAAAAGAGGGAGAAGGAGAGAAAAGTGGGGGGATAGAGAAAGAGAGGGAGCAATAGAATAGTAGGGCCAGACTGAGACAACAGAGGAAAAGTCAAGGAGGGAGATGTGGAAGTGTTCATTTAATTACACATTTTCTAGCACACAGGAAACAACATGTTTGTTTGGAACAAAACAACTGACAAAGGAAACACTTAATTAAGTGCAAAGGTGAAAGAGGGAGGTTTACAAAGTGAGAAATAGATAAATATATCTAACTTTTAGTTAAAATTTCCCACTGATTAAAAGAAGTGTGGATGCTTTGAATGACAAAAGTGTGTAGTGTGTGTTTGTGTGTCACAAGCTTGCTCACTTGTCGTCCTCCGAGTGTGTCTGCACCACCATGGTGTGAAATACTGCAGCAGTGCTTTTGGCTGCAGTGTAAACACACACAGCTTACCTGTGAAGTCACACGGGTCTCACCTCATTTTATAGCTCTGTGGCTGTCAGCATCCGGGCCCCGGGCCAACGCTGGCACCTGCAACGGTGCTGAGATGACTCTGTTGGGTAACCCGTGCAGATGTAGCTTATACCTTTACACGTTTTATGGTATTTATACCAGACAGTGGAGAGAGGCACAGGACAGGAAGAGTAAAGATATCAACTCCAGAAATAATAATAGTGTTTCAAGTTGGTCATCAGAAGAGACTTATAAGCCAAACTCTTTTAGTCCTTCTCCACAAAAATCTTTTTTTTTTGCAGCATTGTCCTTCTGGCTAAATTTAAAACATATCTTGATGTTCTTTAAGCACTTCAACATGTTAATTTCAATTAATTCTGAATTCATTAAAGTGACCTGTTGTTTATCAGGAAAAGACTAATGATCCAGGTGTTATCTTGTTGCTTGTTAGCTACTTGCTAATAAGGAATGTATTTTTAGAGAGAATATTGTCTACAGCTCATCTTCTATTGCTGAATTATTCTTCGTCCTGATTTTAGGGCTGCACAATTAATCAAAATATTATTAAAATCGCAACATGGCTGAAAGCAATATCCAAATCACAGAAGCTGCATTTTTTGATAAAAGTAAAATGGCATTATAATGAAGCTCTGTAGTTCTGGAGAGATGCCCTGGCCTACTAATCTTGTTCTCCAAATGTAAGAGTTAATATGTTTTTTCAGTGAAAATTAAATTTATGATGCCAAAATGATAATTGCCATGCACTAATCATTAATCGTATCACAGTCTATCTGTGAGAATAATCGCAAGATTATTTATTCTTTTTACCATATTGTGCAGATAGCATCATCAAAGACAATGCTTTTTGACTTTTGAAGAGATATTTCATCTCTCTGTTTTTTGAAGTGTGTAGTGATCTACATCCTTGAGAAAGAAGATCCCGCACACTGCTTTTGCTCAGCATCACAATTTATTGATCATATTTTGGTCCGTCTGGATGAGTGTTATAAACAATATTTACAACATTGATCTTAAATGGATAATGATCTGTACATTCTGTGTGAACAGGTGTGGGACAGTTATTCTCCTGTGGGAGTTTCTCTCAATAATTAGCAGCGACATTATATTCCACATGAAAGGAAAAGACATTCAGCCATTGCAACGCAAAATGTCCTTTTACAAGAATATTTACAGAAATCTGTTTGGCCTTGCAGCTTTCATAAGTCATTCAAATTTGTGTAATCAAATGTACTACTTGTATCTTGAGTGTACCATAAGTAGGTATATAAAATCCTGAAACTCCTTAGAGCATGACATGCCATGGCCATCTATTTTTTTAATCATTTAGGGGATAAAGATTGCAAATAAAATATCAAGTATGCTTCTCTTCGATTCACTTCTTGTATCTCAAAAATGTTACCACCTCTTCCTGGCAGAGTAAACGATCAGATGTTATTTCTGAAAAAATGTACTGCTATTGGGTAACCTCTATCACTTCGCCTTATGGAGCTCTTGCATTCACTTATTCTTGTTGTAGTGAACGTGATGTCTCAACAAACGATAACCAACTTGGACATATGTTCATCTAAATTACATGTCAAGTGGAACATGGGATGGCTTTCACTGATAGTTCATGTTGTGAACCTATATCTGAGACCAACCCGGTCTCACTCCCAAGTTGTCAGATACTACAGCTTGGTCAGTGGCCTTCTGCTTCAAAATATGACACTGTATGCTTCACTTTAAAGTCATGTGACATAGTTTTAGGATTGAGAAAATCTGTATATGGAGGGGGCAGGGTTGATGAATGGCTCAAACAAACACAGGACTTGAACCCAGGAGGTTGCTGTTGTCCATGTCCTGCATGAAACTACATGTAAACATTATTTGAAGTAAAGTACATAAGTTGTGACCTTTTTTAATCCTAACCAAGTTAAATATTTATTGTTGCTAACTTGACCGAGGAGTCCAGCGTGTCCAGAAATGACGCTATAGGAGTACCTACAGCGTCATATTTTGAAGCGTAGGGGCACTGACCGAGCTGCAGTATTTGACGAGTTGGAAGTGATAACGTGTTGCTGAGATAGTTGGATGTGCAAATATCTCCTTTGATAAAATTGTAGTAATCTACATAAAATGTCCCATCGGTGTAAGAAACAACAATTTATTTGAAATTATGCCATTGATTCTGTGGACAAAAGGGATTTAATCAGTCCTCTGGGAATTATGTATGTGTGTGCGTGGATAAACATGCAAATGTATAGAGGAACACACACACACAGACACACATTTGATGCCCTATTGTACTGCTGAGGACCCTTCCACCTTCCACCCGTCGTCCCCCCTCTCAAGAGGCACTTATTTAGTTGGTACACAGGCGTCATGTTGAGAACCACACACAGACAGACCACACACACAGCGAGCACAAACACACACACTCAAACACATCCTGCCAACAGAACAAATCAAATATACTCAGCTTGAAAATTGCCTCTGCACACACACACACACACACACACACACCTGTCAATCATTCTCTTTTTATTCTCTAATTAAAACAGAAGTGTGTGTGAAACTATATAAAGCCCTTTTCTTTCCATTAATATAGCAATGTGTGTATTTGTCGTGTATATTTTTAAAAGGGGTTTTCTTTGCCACTGAATGTGTGTGTATGAAACAGAGAGAGGGAAAGAGAAAGAGCGTGAGTGCGTTTATGTGGGAGGTGTTCTGTTCGCAATTAATCACAGTAGTGAATCTCCCTCCCCTTGTCGTATAATATAGATGTCATCCACAGCAGTAACTCCACAGTGCTGCTACTTCGCTGCTGCATAAGTGGTTCAAGCAGTATTATTTATCTTAATAAAATTTAATTAAACTTTCTTAATAATATTATACTATACCGTACTTATACCCATAGATTGCATAGACAGTTTTACAGCACAAGATAATAGAACGCCTTGGCTATAGGTGACCCAACAACACACAAAGGTGGGTACAAAGCTGAATGCAGTTTTCAATAGTTTTTTGGAGGCTGAGCTATTCAGGGAGGATGGTAATTTATTTTGTTATTTTCTGTTTTTGCAGCTGTTATGGAACACCTTTTCTCATAAGCCCAACACATAAGTCCATGGGGCGAGTCGACTTTGCTAGTCGTGACAAATTTAGACATGCCTGTAATAACAACAAGACGAATGAAAAGGGAAAGGTGGGAAACCTTTAAGACAGCCAAAATTACAGCTTGTAGAAACATTAGAAAAGACTCTTAGAGGGTATCATGGATATGGAAGAAACCAAGTTACGCTGAGCCGAGTACATGCTGGTTAATTTTCATTTTAGTTTTCTGTAAGCTAACACATTCATTTGTCGCTTAGTGAGGGATGCAGGAGGTGCTATTAGCAGAAGTAGAAGAATAGCCTAGTGAGAGATTTCATTAGAGTTACAGATGCTAGAGAAACAGTGGCTAGTCCGTAGGTGATTTCAAAAGATTCAAAAGCTGAATGGTTAAAATAAACATTTATTTAGAGTCAAAGAACCACAGTTGTTTAGCATAATGTAACATTGGAAAAGTGACAAAGGAAAAGACAGCAGAGAATTAATTTCTTCTAAAGCAAAAACTGAAAAATGCAGTCCAGCCACAGTAAGTTATAAGATATAAAATATAGTTCAGAATACAACAGGTCTTTATAAAACAGAGATTTGTCTTTTTATGTCTGCAGAATATCTAGTTTGATTGGTTGTTAGTCAACATCTAACCACTGGACTCACAAAGCTAGTACAGTAGTTTAACATGTTTATGTATGACAGGATTTAGTAAATGGTTGGGAAGTGAAACATAATTCAGTATGCAAAGTACACTGGAAAATTTCCATTTCTATTTCACCAGCGTTCTTTATATTGTTCATGTTCTTTGGCTTCACCTACTCAAGTGTTTTAAGTGTGTTGTTTTGTTACAACTCTTCTTCAGGACTGCGTGGGTGTATACAAGTGTGCTAGACTGACATGCCTTTCACTCTCCTGGTACGTTTTGGATCAATTAAACCATCATCATTCTTCTTATTGCAGAGTTTGGTGACTTAATACTTGAGCAGAGGTCTAATCAGCCAGAATAATTAAAAACACCTGTGCGCGAGAGTGTGGGCCTTTAACTCAACCAGAGACAGTTTGTATTTGTAAAAGAAAAACAACAATCAAATCAACAGCAAATTCAATCTAATAAATACAGAACCAGGACACAGAATATGTAACAGTTACCACAATAAGTCGAACACGGGAAGTTTGGAACTGACACGGCACAGCAGCCAGTTGTATAGTGACATTATTGTGAAATGTCCATGTAACAGCGGGGGCAAATGGCTCTTGAAGTGGATGGTTTCACTTGTCACAGATCAGAAGTATTTTTCAGAGAAGAGCAGCCAGAAAAGATGCTGTGATGGGGTGAGAGAGAGAGCTAGAAACTCTCATCTTGGCATGCTTGATGGTGCGCTAGGTGAAAAAATGACTCAGTGGAAGGTCAGTGCCAGTTATTGTTGTTGCTGAGGAGATGATGTGCTGTAGTTCTTTTGA